AATAATAAATATAATAATAATAATAATAATAATAAAGACAATTTAATAATAGCAATAATCAATAATTACTCCCAAATAATCCACAATAAAATGGGGTATTACACTTATGTTCGGCTTTAACTTGCTGACAGGTTAAACATTTCCTTACAAAGTCGGCTACGTCCTTCTTTAACTCTTGCCACCAGAATGACCTTTTCAGGTCATGATATATCTCCGTGCTTCCTGGATGGGCTAGATATGGTGCGGTATGAGCCTCAGTCAATATATCCTTCCTCAACGCTGTTGTTAAATGGTAATTAACAATTGTATGTTATTGAATATCACATTGAGTATCCTAAATGAATAACCAAGAACGTATGAGTCTCAGAAGACCAGGTGTATTGAATATTATTGTATATTTTTCTCGTGTGTATCTGGAGAATCCCTTTTCTCCTTTTATATTAATTTACAACATTTATCTGAAATGCAATCATTACATTTGAAAGGTCAAAGGCGGCTTCTTGCCATTTATCTTGGTAGCATGCCACTTGGACAGATGTAATGATGATTTGTGCTGAGTTGGCGCCGCCTTATGGTGTCGACGTGGCAAGTCATAGATATCGGTTCAATTATCCTTAACCAATATGTCCTAACCAATATGTTGTATCTGACATGTCGCAACCGATATGCCATGTCGGTTTTCAAAGAGGAAGATGTCTGTTCGAGCGAAGAAGATGTCGGTTTCCCCTGACACGTTATTGCTTTAGGATCCTTGAAGATGCTTTCTTTCTTGTACGAACATAATCTCCAACTTACTGAGTATAAATGCTTAATAAATATCGCTTAATTCGGTTTACCAAAAACCATATCAACAAGGTGGCCCCCAGCATTAATGGATGTCTTGAAAGAGACAGGCAGTGATGCTGAAAATTCTCCAAGAATCAATTAATCTTGAGCAAGTGAAACATGTCGGTTTTGCAGCCGTTCCTCCGATGTCTTTACACATGGTAGAAATAATGCTGAAAGTTGAAACGACGCAATTTATTAAGATTAATTGCAACGTTTACTAATAGGGGCAACAGTTACTTTTAATAGGCCACGTAGCCACTGTTGAGAGGCGTAATTCTCAAGGGTCGTGTCGACTCGCAAATTAAGAACGTCCAATCCACGCGCCCCTATTTCTTCCGTTTTCCAACGGTCGCTACTAAATTTAGGGTTTAGTATAAATAAGAAATCTTCTCTCGAGATTCACTTTACTTTCATCTTCTTTCTGCAATCGACTTCCTTATCTTATTGCAAATTAATCGTCTTTCAATTGTACTCAGAGCATCCCAGATCTGTAAGCTTCTTCCTGTGGTAAGAATTATTTCTTTACTTTGCTCATCTTTTCTGGCATATTTTTGTCGCATCATGAGTGTATCGTGGGCATCTTCTGGCGACGACGAGTTGGATGTCATGATGATCAATATGGTCCACTCCGGGGAGATGGAATTGTTGTCTAAATATAGTCGGTGGGATCCAGTGTTCGTCGAACGTTTGAAAATTTGGCTAAACGATATTGAGGGGGATAAAACTGTGGAGGAAAATGCCATTGATGACCCGAGATACTTGAGGCGACCCATTAGAAAATGGCCGGACCCCGAACTTACATCCCATGGTGAACCGAGCATACTAACAGATGCCGATGTTGTCATGCTGCGGAGCAAAATTCGAGTCCCTACGTCGGTACATTTATTTGCGCCCTACCCAGGTGAAAGGATTACGTGTCCACCACCCGGATGTGTCGGTGTGTTCGCTGAGAGCTTAAGATACAGGGCTGCGATTTCCTCTGCCGCGTATAATCACCGAATACTTACGGGATTGGAAATTTCCGATATGCCAGATCGCTCCAAATTCATGGAAGCGAA